GCAACCCCCTCTACCCCCCAGCAGCCAGCATGTCCCAGCCTCCCCCCGCCGCAGGGCCAGTTCCCCGGGAGCCCCCTACTCCTCTCCCCGCAAAGCCCCGCTTCCATCCTTCCCAGGGTGGGCTGGCGGCCCCGCTGCCCCCTGCTGGGGGCGGATAGACCCCGCTCCCCCCCCTCCATTCCCCCCCCCAGGTCTGATCGCAGCTGCTCCCCCCAGGCCCCTTCCTGCCCCCTATCGGCTCCCCAGGGAGCCCCCAGCGGGAAATGGGGGGCGCCCCGTAAAGCCCCGGCTCCGCCCTCTCGGACAAGCCCCCGCCGGCCCCGCTGCCCCCCTCCCCGGGGCGGATGAACCCAGATTTCCCCCCCCCGCTCTCACCATGGCGGCTACTCCGCGCTCTAGTCTCACCCCGTCCGGAAGAGAGAGAGGAAGTGACGCGCTGCCTCTTATAGACACTCCCCCTACAGGCAGATAAACTTCCGGTCAGGGCAGTTCACCTTCCGGCAGAGCAGACAGACTTCCGCTTCTCCCCGGAGTCTTTCCGGTCATCCTCCCGCAGAGTTCCACTAGGGACACCGCTACCGGGGTGGGCAACAATATGTGCGGTCCGGGTATGAAACCTGCCCCATGACAGAAGGTTCCTATGGGAATAAATCCCCCCTATTGGATAGGGACTGACCCCCTTCGACTCCGGGGGGCATTTTCATGCCAGTCACCCCCTCACGTTCCCTAAAGGGGGCTTTGTTACCCCATTTCCGGTAGACCCCCGCCCACCCGGTGCATCATGGGAGTTGTAGTTTTTTAAAGGCGCACGGCCGGAAGTGAGCCTTGGAAGCCCGGATGCGGCGGGAGCGAAAGAAGGAGCGGGGCGGGAATGATGGCGGTGTTCAGGCCCGATGAGGAGCTAGGACTGCGGGCGACTGAGATGGAAGAAGAGGAGGGCATGGTGAGGTTCCCCCAGCCCTACTTCCGGTCCCCAGGCACCCCACTTCCGGTCCGTTCAAAATAGGCCCGTAATGGGGAATCGCCCCCTGCTGCCCAAATTGGGCCCCACTTGTCATCTACCCCCCCCCCGCGTGCTGAGGGGCGGTTCTGGGAAGGGTTTGCATGTGACCCCGTTAACTGTTGTGTGAAATGTGGGAGCCTGAAGGTTCTGCGACCTTTGACCCTGACCCCAGTGACCCCAGGCCCTTGCTTGCCTCACCCTGACCCCAACATGACCCCATCCCACTCTGTCACCCCCATGCCTGTTCATGTGACCCCTGATCCTTGTAATCTCTGACCCCACCCTGAATCTTCTCCCCCCATGCCCCGACCTCTGCCCCTCCCCCGCTCTGTTCCCTCTCTCTGCC